TGCAGCCTTTTCAAGATGTTGGATATGGGATACTGGACTGCTAGAAAGCTTTCTTTTCTGAAGACTTCTCTGTAGGCTGCGGACCTTTTTATCTAGTTGCCGAGGATTCTGAGGAGTCTGAAAAGCAGATGATATAGAGCCTTCAAGAATTGGTGGTGTTGGTGTACGAAGTTGAAAAGTAATCTTTTCAAGCACCCGGTCTTCATTAAGTGGTTTAAGACCAGCACCTGTAAAGCCACTGTGTATATTCTTCTGGATGAAGACCCTCTCACGCGCAGATGGGTATAGGTGTAGGAAGTCTTCCTTATCAATATGGTTATTGCCAGCAACCATTATTCCTTCAACTAACTTCCTATATGCGCGCTTTAGTGGACCAAAAACACCAACATCCAATGGTTGCAGAAGGTGAGAAGTATGTGGTGGCATGCAAAGGCAGATGATTGCATTCTCCTTGCAGAATGCATCAAATTCTGCAGTTTGATGACTAGAATGGCCATCAAGAATAAGTAATCTCTTTGCACCAGTTGAATGCTGCCTTGAGTATGGCTCAAACACCTCTTTAAGCCAGCGAAGGCCTATTATATTAGTTATCCAGCCATTATCACTCATTGCAATTAACCAGCTTTGAGGAACTGCTGATTCTTGATACCAGGTAGCCTGTTGCTCTTTCCCCTTTAAGATAACCACTGGTGGTATAGAAACCCCCTTTGAGTTCACACATTCAATTATTGTAACCCATTCGCGGTTACCCTGAATGATAGTATGGGGTCTCTCACTGCGATCCACTGCAGTGATAACCTTAGAAGTTGTACAGAGTCCCATTGCAAAGCCAGTCTTATTAAAGTTCCAGATGTCATCCTCATGGATGCCGTATTCTTGAATAGCCTCATGCACAGTTGTAAACCACTGTTTTATAACCCTTGGATCCTCCTGCTTTGCACGCTGGTATGTAATCCTCTGGTTATATCGTGTGCGAAGGGCTGGATGGCGTTTAATAAACTTATATGCCCAGTTGACACCAATGGTTGCGGTAGGATCCTGTGTACGCTTATGGAGTAATATCTGCGCCATTCCATGTAGGAACTCTGGTTGAATTGAAAAGCCCTGTTTATCTGCATCTAGTAGATGCTTGGTAAGAACTTCTTCTTCTAGAGCTGTTAATTTATGGCCATTGGCACGTGTTTCTGAGCGTGGTTTTCTTCCATTGAGGCGAGCGCGAAGGGTAGGCTCAGGCACGCTAAAGGTCTCTGCAGCGCTTAGTACTGACTTAATTTTTTTATTCTTAATGGCTGCAATTGCCATTTGTATCCGATTTTCTTGAGATAAAGGCATTTTTAATAGTGGTGATGATAAAAGAACGCATTAAAGAAAGGAAGTGGTTGACCCAGGGAGAAATTCGTCGCTTGGGGGTATTCGTCGCTCGGTGGTTGATTACGTTAATTATAATGTAACTTACTTCAGCATGCATAACTGTGTGATCCATCGTAATCTATGAATATACTAGTGACTAGAGTATGTAACACATAACCACATAAGCCATACTCAGGATTATCACAATATTACTCACTTTTACCTGCACATGAGTGTGCTCTTACATGAACATGTCAGCAATAATAATACAACTGATCACTCTGATATGTGTGTGTTTCTTAGCGTCAGGGGATGCGGAGGCCGGCAAAGACTCGGTGTCCACTCGGCCCATGACTAATAACTTGGGCCGGCGAAGACTCGGTGTGCACTCGGCCCATGCCGAATGGCTGGCGGATCCACCTAGCACTACTTACGGCTGAAGTGCATGCATGGAATTCGGGCCCAAACAACCGAGCCGCAAGGCTGTTTTTCATCCACTTCCATACGCTCTTATCGATCGAATTGACTTTTCGTCATAATCCACATGTCATCTCAGGACAGAGATCCACTTCGTCATGTTGCAGCCTTGCAGGCAGTGGCTGCTGTGTCGCGTATACAGATGATTCTGTGAGGAGGCACATCGCTCCATTATTGTGTCTGTCTACTCCCCCTCACGGCTCCCCTCATGTGAAGAGGCGATATACCGGAATCTGTCGTATACGAACTCAGGTCGTCATTGCCCGATTTCTAGGAGATAGTGCCGGATTCCAGGATGTTTCTTGGAATATGAATATATAAGGGACCTCCCTCCACGCTTGGAGAGGGAGCATTAATCTGACATTCACACCATCAGAACCGGGCACGCCAGCACAAGTTAGTCGCCATGTCGAAGCCTATTTTTACTTTGGCAGAAGGTGCGAAACTTATAATCTCCCCGTAACGTTCACCAACTAATAGCCCGCAAGGCCAGCCAATTGCAGATCCATCTGTCAGTACTACACTGCCCACGTTCGGCAGCGGTGGCCTTACCACCTTGGGCGATACACTCCTCCTCGAGACGCTCGCGCATTTTAACCGTGAGCGTATCCCCGAAAGGTCAGGAGCCATTCCACCCGTGATCCTCCACTTGAGCTAACATTGAGCAGGGTAGTGCATGCTAAGGCTGCAGGTGCTTGGGGTGAATTTGAGGTCACCAAGGATATATCTTCTCTCACAGCGGCCAAGTTCCTCAATGGCGTGGGCAAAAAAACGCCGGTGCTTTTCCGTCTGAGCACGACTGGTGGTGAAAAGGGCAGCGCCGACACCGTCCGGGACGTGCGAGGCTTTTCCGTCAAGTTCTTCACCGAGCAGGGTAATCACGACATTGTAGGAAATCATATTGTGAGTCTGTATCCTTGAGTTCTGCTGGCTTGGGCTTTCTAATCCCTGTCCAGCCGGTGTTCTTCGTGCGGGACCCAGTGAGATTTCCTTCCCTCAATCGCAGTCACAAAAGACATCCCGCCACTAATCGGCCGGATTGGACAATGGTGAGTGTTTGTTGGTACTCTTACTGCTCTGCCAGTGGCGCTCATCTCTTCTTACAGTTTTGGGACTTTCATGTCAACCAACCAGAGAGTGTCCATGCTTTGATGCACCTGTTTGGCTCTCGCGGCATCCCGGATTCCATCCGTCGAGTGACGGGTTTTGGTGTGCATACCTTCAAGATGGTGGCAGCGGATGGGAGTTTTCGGTATTGCAAATTCCACTTCCGGCCGACACAGAGTATCACCAATTTTTCTGGGAAAGAAGCCACGTTGATGGCTGGGGCCAATCCGGACTTCCACAACCAGGACCTATGGGATGCCATCGCTCGGGGACAATTCCCCGCATGGAAACTCTACGTGCAGGTCATGGAGCCTGAGCAGGCCGAGACTTATGGCCGCGCTCTGTTCGACATCACCAAAGTCTGGCCCCACGCGGAGTTCCCGTTGATTGAAGTCGGTCAAATGACTCTGAACAAGAATGTATGATGACCGCCACTCATGGGAAGCGACGAGCAGATACTGACATCGGAGACTGCAGCCAGAGAACTACTTTGCAGAGGTCGAACAAGCGGCATTTTCGCCTTCCAACATGGTCCCTGGCATTGCAATGACCCCCGATCCGAGTGAGTCACATACTGAATCCCTGGGAGCTTTTGACATGTAACTAAGTACATTGGCTGGCATAGTGCTGCAGGCACGCATGTTTGCCTATCCGGACGCTCAACGATACCGCCTGGGGGTAAATTACACCCAGCTCCCTCCCAATCGGGCCATATGCCCTGTCTACGCGCCGTTCGAGCGTGATGGTATGGGCACCGTGACCAAGAACTACGGCGGTGACCCAAACTATGTGCGTAGTACCTTGAGCGGGGGCGTGCCGAGCCCGGTGGTTTCCGATGTGCGACACAGCGAGCGCATCCAACACAATGCTACCCTCGGCCAGAATGAGATTCAGGTTGATGATGAGGACTATGTTCAGCCTCGTGAGCTGTGGAACAGAGTCTTTAATGAGACCGAGAAGAGGCAGTGGATAGCGAATGTGGCCGAGACTTTGGACAGTGTGCCAGCTCCGCTGAAGAAAGCCGTCATGGAGATGTTTAGCAAAGTCCATCCCCAGATTGGTCAAATGTTGGAAGGGAGGACTACTAGTAGTTCTCACCTTTAGAAGCTTATATCTTTTGAATCATAATGTTGTTCAAGATAGCCTCGGTAATGGTGGTGGCATTTTAGCGGGATCGAGGAGTGCGAAGGAGGATCTGTGAAGATCTCAATCTGACATGGGATCATTTTCATGGTTGGACCGCGTCGGCCATAGTCCTGCCTTCCGGGACCAGACTGCGGTTAGGAAAATAAACAAGTTCTCTCGACACCATTTTTACGGGCTAGCAAATATCTAGACAACGGAACAATGTCTTCCCATTTGACAAAGTATACTACCCTATGGAAATAACGGAGCGCCTCAGTACTCTTCAATCTAACTGTATACTAATTAGTCTGCTAGTTCCGCGATAAATTAGATCCAGATCTGCTGCCGATGATGGATGGTATAACACCTCACGTCGCTTTCGTGGGTTCACGACTCTAGATCAATAGTACCGGGCAGTTATAGCCCCCAAGACCGTCCTCCCCCATTTGTTATAAGCCTGATCAAACCTCACACGTATTTCCTTACTTGTTCCTCTGTCCAATCCCAGTATTTTTTCCCAAGAGAGGGATCTAGCAGATCTTCGCGAATTGGCACAAACCGGCCGAACGGAGCAACTGTGCGATCAAGGTCAGAATCACACAGACCAACAAAACTCTGCATGAAACACCTACCCCAGCTTCCGGATTTGTCTTGCGTAATATCTGGCTGAAGTCCAGCAAAAAGTTCTGTATACGCGCCATACTTCGGATCATGGGCGATCAGCTTCTGTATGAAGTGTCAGCAGCGGCCCGTACGGATCAAATTCCAGATCGAACGAACAAACAAGGCAACTTGCCATCGTGGCATCGATTGCTGCAAATTTGTGACAAAATTTCCAGGGTTCAGGCTCTGTACGTGTGTTAGCCAGGAGCCGAACAGGAACGAGGCGCTGAATGACCGTACTAGACTGATGATCCCGTCCCCTTTCGCCCTCCGAGCGAACTCGCTGGCGTGCAGCACACTCCCAGCTTTACTTCTCGCATATTTCCTCCATGCGCCTTCTTCTCGCTGGTAGTCCATATTTGAGAAGACTATGGCCGGCGTTGGAGCCATTTCGGCGACGCTAGAAGATACCCATACAACTCGGACAGAACCCGGCGCCGATGAGTCGGCCGTTCGCTTCAGAATCGGATAGAGGAGGTGCGTGAAAAGGAAGTGCCCTAAATTATTCGTCCCAAGCTGCAGCTCATACCCTTGAACAGTCTTCGAACCAGCGGGCGGAACCATTACCCCAGCGTTGTTCCACAAGACATCAAGGCGTGACTCCTTCCGGAGAAATTCATCGACGGAAATGCGAATTGAAGACAGGTCTCCTAGATCCAAGTGGAGGTATACTAATCCCCCGGTGGAGTTCGGATTTGCGTGCTGAATCTCTGCAATTGCGTCCTGTGCCTTCGCTTGAGATCGCGCAGCAATGTACACTTTTGCATTGTGTTGATAGAGGATCGCGGCGAGTTGCTTCCCTATTCCACCCGAAGCACCCGTCACGATAAAGACCTAGCCATTTAGCTCCGATAGGCCAAAGGTAATGCCATCTGAGGGAGTACCTACTTTACCACTTTGATCCGGGAGATTCTTTTCCGTCAGCGTCGGTGGAGGTGGGAAGATATTGCTCCATTGCTGACCCATGTTGCAGATCGTTGGTCCGATAAGATACCATAAAGGGTAGAGTAAAACTCTCAGGAGTTCCAAAGACGTGAAGCATCCTTAGGGGCAGTTTAATAGCAGTTTAATATTGGCGGTTCCACGACCAAAACGGGACCAACTTTGACTGCCCATCTCTAAGTCGGAAATATAGAACCTCGGAGATGTGACGTCATTCAGTCTCGGAGATGCTCATGGGATCCCGCAGCACCGTGCCCTGGTGTGGACCGGGCATCTTACGACTGACCGTCTATCCCGTCTGTAGGTGGTTACCCACGATACGTGCACTGGCACCACATGTTTCATGTAGCCCTGGAGTACTGATATGTTATTATCCACGTGAATCCCCGCTGCGGCATGACTGTGATGTTAAATCTACATACGGAGGATGGGTTGGGCAGCATGTACCAATCCGCCATCAGCCCTTTCTTCCGTCATCTAGCCATCATTCAGCTATTCAGCACGATATTGACATATTTCTCTCGCGTTTCTTTCTGCCATGTCACTCCCGCAACGATCACCGGGTATTGGAAGACCCCGCGTGACTGTAATGGGGCTGGGACTTATGGGAATGAGCGCTTTCTGCGACAAGCCACACCCAGATGACGAACGGTTCAAGCTTCTGGACCATGCGTTGCAGTTGTTGTGTATTCTCCTCTTGGCCGTGGCATGCTTACCGCAAAGTATAAAGGCCCTAGTAACTTTGAGGAAGGGGACTTCCGAAAACTGGCGCGGCGTCTCGGTATTCTCCCGAGAACTTCGCGAACAACCTAAAGCTCGTGGACAGTCTCCATGACATCGCACGTCAACAAGGCTGCAGTGGGAGCCAGCTGATCCCAGCATGGTTGCTCGCGCAGGGTAACGGTATCATTCCGATTCCAGGCACGACATATATAAAAAATTTTCATCAGTATACTGGTGCAATCCATGTTAGGTTATCCCAGGATGAGATAAAGAATATTCGCGGGACGGTAGAGCAAGCCACTATCCGTGGCGAGCGCTATCCAGCCGCGTTTGCCAAGACGCTTCTGGCCGACACGGAGGACGTTTAGAGGCTAAGTAATATAAGTTCACTGCTTGTTCATGTCCCTCAGGTGCCCACCGATTCTTGCTGGCAGAGAGTGTGTATCTTGTCCAAACTAACCTTAGAACTGGCCTGCACAAACGCCAGTTATGTGCGTTGCTGCAGGTTGGTACCCAGCCGGGAGGCCTTTGAACTGAAGAATGAGGCCTCCCGTAGGCAGATGCATTACTCCTACTCCTCAGGTGTCCCTTGCAACCCCCTACAAGGCACAACGGATTCAGAGTGCTGCCCTTCCGTTACGCTAGAGAAAATCTCCAACTTGCTGTTCTTGCAAATTAGACTGCAAACTTCTCGGATAAACGTTCTCTCCACGGAGGCTTCCGGCAAGGATTCATACGCGACACGTAGAGGAAACTCGATCTGCAGCAGGAATGACCAAGGGACGTGTTGGACGTAGTACTGAACACTGCGACAAATGTCCCAGGCGTAGCAGTACCGCTCTGGCTCTTCAGATGAACTAAGATTTCCTGCCCCCATAAGGATCAGATGAGCAGCATTGTACATGCAAATGCTGGTGGCAAGAAGTGGATCTGGAAACATCCATGCAGTTGGGGTAGAGAGCGCGTCTCCCTCATCGCTCCAGTGCTGAAACAGAGGGAACCCAGATGCCTGTGGTACTTCATACGGCTCCCCGTCCTGATAGGTATCGACGTACGTTCTCTTCCACTGATGCAGCGCGTCCCGGAGAGACAATGCCCACACTGTCAGTAGCTCTCGCTGAGTTTCCTTCTGTGCAGCTTGGTGTCCATCCATGGAGTTCATCGTGTCCACCTGTTCGAGGAAGGACGGAATATCCACTAACACATCCAACAGATGATGCAAAACATTTTTTTGGCCACCTCCCATCCATGGGATCACTTTCCATTCCGATTTCGAAAGAAACGTCGATGCTCTAACGGTCAATGCCCACGTGACCTTACAATTGATATTAGTAAAAATCGAATGGAACTGGTGTAACGCGCTCGACTTACACACAGTGGGCGTAGTTCGGAGTACAACACATGTTCCATGCCTGATGTATGACGAAAGGGCCCTCTGCGCTCAAACAGCGTGAGCGCAGCTATCCAGTGATAACTGGCAGAGCTTTCACTCTTCTTCCGAAACAACTAGAACGGACTAAGTTAGCACGCGGTCAATCACCCTTTCGTTCCACAATAGCTTGCCTCTGCCGTAGCTAGTAACACAAGGGTATACAAAAGCTCAAGGGAGACAGAGTCCTCGCCCTCGTTATTTATGACTTCGTTCACACCTCGCAAAACCGTTATATAAGCAAGCTCCCCCGACTGCTCTGTGTCCACATCGCCGTCGAGCTTGCCAATAAGCAGCATGCTGACGGCACCCAAAGCAGTCTCCAGTAGCGGATGATTTCGAGATAGCTCTGTAGCGTCATGAACCCAACGTTGCGAGAAACTAGTCGCTCCAACAGGGGAAAAGAGATCCAACAGACGACTGACATAGATACTGGGGTTGTGGATGGCTGTTGAGGTGGGTTCTTGGTAGGATCCCCCGTCACTTGTGGGAATTAGAGAACCCTGAACCACTGGAGAGATGCCAGCAACATCAAGCGCCGTAGAATGGCGATCAGAACTAGCCGCGTCATCTCCTCCGGTTAAACTAGCCTCACCTCTGTGATTTGTAGAGGTGCTTGACGTGGCAATGGCACCTGTCGACGCCGTTTGGTTGCCCTCTACCGCAGAAAGTCCACGCAGATTGGTCTCCTGGCTTGATATCTGTGCAATGACTTTTTGGAGGCTGGGATTCGGGCCATCTGCCATCCTGTGAAATGCTGTCCAAAGAAGCTCTGCATGGGAGGAAACAGAGACGGCGCTAAGACGGCATTCTTCGAGGAGGGTTGCAAGCCCTAAGTACGTCGCAAATGACGTTATCACACTTGCCCGTCGGAGACTAAATGCTGATTTATACGTCCCAATAAGGTCCGTTATCACCGTGGACTCGTGCCGGCATTCGCCCTTGATGGACAACTTGCGCAGAATTCCCAGTTGCTGCGAGAGATGCGTCTGCTCCAATAGAGGCCTTCGAATGATAATCTTCAACGCGTGAAAAAGTAACCTGGAAAGCGGCAATAAGACGACTGCCTTGAGGGAATATATCAATCTTGAGATAGCTAGCCACTTACAGGAGATCAACAAGATGCGGAGGCGGGATGGTCTGGGATACGGCGCTGTCACGAATAAACGAAGGTAGGGTCTCATACCAACGACCAAGCTGGCTGTCAAAGTCATTTACTGCTTGCTGGGTTGATGCGAAGGTTAGTTCCTTCTGGTCGCCATACAACGTCAAGATAATGCTGTGGCAGACTTTGAGTAAGTCGACTAGAGCGCGAAACGTTGAGATAGCGTAGGTCGGGTGTGATTCGTAGTGATCAGGAACTTGTTGCCCAGCCGTTGTCGGATCAGTGTAAGGAGTCCAGCTCTCTAACTCCTCATATGTATCTAAGACCGAATCCGCGAATATCTGGTCCAGCCCGTCGATGGTTGGTTTGTGTCCCAGATAAAGCGACATAAAGACATCAATGCAATATGTTCCCAGGTATAAGTGCTTTCGCACTTCAGCGTCTACGTCGGCGAGAAGGGGTGCCGTGCCTGCAACCTGACTAAAAAACGCACCCGCTGTCGCATGATGGCAGCCCAGACAGCGTACCATCCTAGTGGCAACGTCGCATAGGATTCGACCAGTTCTCGGTTTCCCAAGACATACCAGAGAAGCACCACATAGTAGCAGCGCAGTGGCTGTCGGCACGCTCGGATGATCCATTTCGTCTGCTAATAACTGACAGAACCTGGCATAAAATCGCCACCCCGGGGAAGACCCGTCGGCAGGCCTGCCTCTCACTTCGCTTCTGTCGCTATTAACCGAGGCCGAGAGGTAAATGGCATTCAGCAGAAGTTTATTTAGGTAAGGACCGCCGTTAATCAGGCTATCCATAATAGCGGGTCGATAAGTCAGTTGCCACGTTAAATGGACAGTATTCCAGTACAATTCGAGCAGATGAGTTGCCAAACCCGGGTCCACTTCATCCAGATCAGCGCCGCAGCTGAAAGGTTGGGAGTGCAAAACAAGTGATTCCCGTTGCCGGAGCAAGGCACTGTTAGCAATTAGTCGAGATCGACTGATCTCGACATCTATCCCGTTTGGGGGTCTCCTCTTTCGAGGTGAGGGTGAGGCCGCCCGGGAAACAAGGGCGTCATAGAAAGGACGGAGAAGCCGGGGGTGACTTTGATATGTTCCCGCAGCATCTCCCTGTAATACTGGGGCCTGAGAAGGGCCGTCGTCTGTAGTGGGCAGAGGTGGTAGTCGGTTGTGAAGAGAGTTTTCCCAAGAAGTGACGCCATGCGGACGTGGCTCTGCGTGCGGGAGTAGGGATTCCGGTCGCCCTGAACGGCGATGCGGGCTTCTGGGTAATGGGCTTTGCTGTTGGCGAGTAAAAGAAGGCGACCCTGCCCGGCGATATCGACCATCTAGGGGATACACACAGTTGGACCGCCGGCTGACACACGTTTCACACCGAGGTCGAGAACCGTCGCATTTCACCTTCCTTGCACGGCATGCGTTGCAGGCCTTGCAGCTCGCCTGCTGAAGAGGCATTGTCAATTCGACTACAGCAAAGAGACCCAGATTCTCTTGGAAATTCTTGCATTGCCAGTATAATAGGACTTGATAGTGCCGAGGTACCCCCGATAGTGGTGAATTATTCGGTCTTGCGGACTCGGCACTCCACTCCGTTGCACGTGACACGGCCAAACTCTAGGCCGTCTGTAGGAGTATCAGATCGTCGCGTTCGGAGATCTGTTGCCCCTCGGGGATATGACAATGGATGCAGAAATGGAAGCTCTATGCATTAGCACATGTGAGCCTCTGCACCGGAAAGCTATCACAATCGGCCGTCACTTGTGCTACAGCTTAAGGATCCCAACAACACCACCATGAGAATGGGTGACTTGGCCCTCTCCATTTTCTTTCGACGATCATAATTGCCGTCCGAAGCGGGCCCACTCAAGCACTGAGCTGTTCCTGGTCGGATAAAAAAGCAGTAAGCCATGGAGGTGATCGGCTGCATATAGTCTTACTCGGGCGGAAGTTTGCTATATTCTACCGGACATGTCTTCGGTGATGTATTTCCGCATATCCGGAGATAGAGTGGGTTATGGATCAGCGAAAAATCGGGCTGGATGTCTGGGTGGGACCCACTCAGAGAGGTATTTCTGAAAGTAGATTGCCTTAAACAGCATTCCACCACCAAAAATAATGCGGACATGGCAAGTGCAGTATTAAAGGGATAGATTGGGCTTCCTGCGGCGTAGGATGAATTAAGTGGTGGTGTCTGCCTCTGACATGGGCGACACAATCGTTCCCCTTCAACGGGGCTCCATCCGGAGACCACTTCCATTTGAGCTTCTCGATATCATCGTCGGATATATCGACACTTCCTTGTCGGGATTACTGGTATGCAAACGTTGGCATTTTCTTCTCATGAAACGGCGACTTGAATCCCTCGAACTTTCTGTCAACATGCTTCTCCAATTTTCTAAGCTCTCCAACAATTTCCTGGACATGACGCGCATGTATACAAGACATATACGCCTGAGGCTCCTCGACACCAGCGCACCAACGTCTGAACGGCGGTCGACAGACTCTCTTCCGATCTCGCAAAGACACAACGCGATCTTCAAGAGCGAGCTTAACAAGGCTATAAGGTGGCTTGCTGCCATGCTACCGCTGTACGACAACCTAGAATCCTTCTTCTTGGGAAACTACCTCGAACCAAAATCATGGACTATCATCTCGCCAGAGACTTTCGAGACCATTCTTGCGAGTCTTGCAGTATATCCTCTGGATTATGTTCAGATTGATATGCCGGGAGCGCCGCGGGAAAATAGAGAGTTATTAGGTCACTCCATGATTTCCGACACCCACGGGTGTGATATCATCCGACGCAATTTCCCAAACACACGTGTCTTCCATCTGAGGATGAGAACAGTCTGTCCTACTGTCCTGGATTTCTATCGAAAGCGCCCACGTTTGGAGATTTTCAAAATGGCGCTGCAACTCGAGCCAGTCAAGCCACCTGGAATTGATCTAGATGTTAGTGTCGTCAGCTGCCGGCATGGCGAGCTTCTTGGGAGAGAGTTAGTGGCCGCTTTGGAGCCCGCAGCGATCTCGTTGTTTTCTTCTGGCCAAACTCCGTACATTCGGAGCCTTGAGTTCACTTTACCGGTTTTCAGAAATGGGAAGGAACGGTCACAACCAGAGACGCAGACATGTAGCATTACTACCAATGTAGCCAGCCAATAAACTTTACGCAGCCTAAACTTAGGGCCCAGGACGTCTTTGATGCAGCGACTCGGGCCGTTTTGTAATCTCGAACAATTTATGAGCACCAGAGCGTTAACTCTCAATGGCTAGGACCTGCATTTAGCACAGCTCCCATCATTCACTCTCAGCTCAACGAAATCTCGGGCTCCTCTCTGAACTCTGACGGAATGACCAGTTTCTACAGGGAGGCCGAAACTAACGCTCCCTCGCCGTCAATTCTTCCTACTTCCCTGATACGTCCCCGTGAAGTTCAGCCACCTTCTCATCGAACTAGGAGTTCCGTGGCCACGGCCAGGGCGTCAAACCCGGCCCCATACCCGCGTTTAGTGGAATCTAAATGGTTTAAATCATTCTCCAATCCACATTTTCTTTCAAAGAGAAAAGCTAAGAACTTGGTACAAATACGAATACATAGTGCGATGCTACCAGGGGACCACCCAACCCACGCAGTAGTGGTCCAAGCAGCAACACGCAGCACGCATATAGGAACTGGACCCCGGTTCCCGCTGGCAGAAACCTTGTGGACAATGGACCGCTATTAGTTACAGGCCCTAGAAATGATCAATCCAAAGCCCTAACAACAACGGCAAATACCCAGCCTTTACTAAAGTCGACATTGAACCAGATGTGAGAAAACTATGGATAAAGCTAGACTGGTCGTGGATTGGGTCTGGATGGATCCGCAAAGGGTTCAATCAAACCCATGCAGATTATGGGTTAATCCACTAGCTATCTAACCCACCCTCATATCCATGTGGGTTGGATTGTGGATAATGGATATATCCCTACTGTCTAGTCAGGTGACCTCTAGTATTCAGATTACTACCTATTTTTCTAGTATTCTAGCCACACCACTAAGATATCTATATATTTAATTAAATGATATAATAATTCACTATATAAATATTATATATTACCTGTTACATAAGGTGAATAACCTTATATAGGGGAACAGTGGTTTTCCCTAAGGATAAGATGAAAAGTTGTGCAGAAGTTATATATATCGTACCGCTACTATCCTAACCATCATTATCTAAAATATAAAATCCACCATAATTCTAATTTTTCTTAATAAATTTAATATCTTGTCTTATATATACATAGATATAGTCATTCTCTATCTATAATATAAAAATATATCCCTATATAGGCCTAGATTAGGGCTAGATAAGGTTATCAGTTCTTAGAGGCCCTGGGTCACATTCACATACACATAATGGGTTGTCTATATCTATATAGGTTGGATGTCATCCATCCATATCCATGGAGGTTAGATCAGGGTCAACCCCCATCCAACCCAAAGTGCGGATCGGGTAGGTCGGATATGGACTTGTGGATTGGGTCAGCCAGTCTAATCACAATCATATCATCTGCTGAACGCTCCGCTCAAAGGTAAATGACGTCCTTCAGCAACATTAGTTAAAATATGTGGGCTTGAAGACTGTAAAAACAATTCTACCCCGTGTGTCAATGTCTTGTCCGCTCGAGGTCGATGCCCCCTTCTGCCTTTGAAGTTTAAGGCAGAAATAACTGTGAAAGTAGGACAAAGCCGGCAATGTCTATTCCTTTGCGCCGCTGAGGATATTCGCCTAGTGATAGCCCGACCTGTGCTGTGGCCCTCTTTAAGCATATCAGTCCGACCGGTGGACACGTGCCGGAGGCCAATAGGCGTGTGAAGAACTCCATTTGGGGGCTGATTGAAATTGATACTAGTGGAAGGGTTGAGCTCTTCCGCTCTAGAGAATATTTACCAACCGAACCACTGCTTCAAAGACATCAGTGACAGTACCACCGGAGACACAAAGCTCACCGTAGGTATAGGGTACAGATACTACAGCGATGATTTGACGACGATCAATGGAGGGAAAAAAGAAAAACTACTACATCAGATAGAATATCACAAGGCAAATTGTGTTCGTTAAGTCGCCTTCTCGCACTATGTAACAAAATCGACTAAAAGATGGGCACAATATCATTCAATGGTTGATATATTACTTGTGCCATCCGTCTCACTCCTTCACCTCTTGCGTCGTCTCATTGCGAACAAGACCCTCCTGGGAGGAAGACACGCCAATGGCATACGGATCCACGTGGGTAGAGGCGAACTTACGAGCAGGGGTTTTGGTCGCAAAGAGGATGTCCAGCTCAGCATAGGTACGCCCCTTGGGCTCAGGCAAACGGAAGAATGCCCAAATGAAGACGAGCAGGGCCGTGCCGCCCCAGAAGAATCCAGTCTTACCAGACGCGTTCCAGGCAGTGGGGTTCATGAAATAAGGCTCCAGCACCTGCGAAACAACATTCACTACCTGGTAGGCCGTGCGCGCGAGGCAAACAGTCAAGGGTCGCAGACGCACCGAGGAAGTCTCCGATACAATGGCATATGTGATGGGGCCAATGGTCAGGGCGAAGACGAACAGCCAGAGGAAGCAGAACGAGGCTTGCGCCCACAGGGCGCCGGTGGTATGGGAAGTCGAGTTGATGATGCCAATCATGAACAAGAAAGTGCAAAGAATGCCCTGACCCCAAATATAGAGGGTTCGCCGGCCAAAGTAGGTGATCAGCCACCAGGATAGCCCAGTTCCAACCAAAGCCACTCCGGTACAACCCACACCTAGCTGGAATGCCCGGTTGCTATCCATGCCGGCCTGCTCGAAGAAATACGTGGGGGAGTAGGCGAACGTGCTACCGGACAGAATCTGGCCACAGAAAGCCACACAGCAGATTTCGGTGCGGCGTAAATCGACCCCCTTGAAGCAGTCCCAGTACGTGGTGCCTGCCTCGATTTCGGACTCAATCTTAGCCGTGTGGACCATCATTGCCAACTGGCCATTGATTTGATCCTCGGTCTTGTCTCCTCCCAGGCGACGGATACTGTGCTTGGCTTCCTCGAGACGATCGCTACGGACCAAGTACCAGGGACTCTCCGGGGCCAACCAGCAGATAACCATCAAGGGTACAGGCCAGATCCACTGCAGGGCAAAAGGGATGCGATAGGACCATTGATCTGACCGGTGTAAGAGACCATAAAGCACGCCAGATGCAATCATCTGGCCGATGGCCCAGCACATGTTGACATAGATGGTAAGGTAACCACGCAGGTTGGTCGGGCAGACCTCTGAAGCGTAGGCGGGTCCGACCGTCGCGAACACGCCCCAGGACAGACCACAGAGGACCTGGCCCACGAGTAGCACAGCGGCGGAGTTGGCAAAAAAGACGATGAAGATGAACGCGGTCAAGAATAGCAGTGCAATCATCATGACCTTGCGATACCCAAACTTGCTGGCAAAGTAGCCATTCAGGAGGCCACCTGGGAAAAAAAGACTCAGGTCAGCACACAAGGGGACCATTACAACCGCAGCTACTGTAAAGCTCCCGCAACTCACCAAAGATACAGCCAACTGTGCTGGCCATGTTCAGCCCGGTCTGCCAAGGGGCCGACACCTGCCAGCCAACCTTTTCGCCATAGTATTGGCCGTACTTTTTCTGGAATGTGGGATAGGCAAAGAAGTTACCCATCAGGATGGTATCGTATCCCTCCATGATAATCGACAAGGAAACCAAGACGGACCACATGACAGCCTTGCGATTGGCTCGCAGGGCCTGCCAGAGGCTTTGCGCATGTTCTTCATCGGTGGCCTGCTTCGCCTCCATGATAGCACCAACACCCAGCGTATCCTCCACATGATGGGCAGCCGACTTCTCTAAGGCGACCTTGGCTTGGTTCACGTCCGTCACCATATTGAGGGCTGGTGATTAAGTCAATGAAAAGCTTCAAAGCACCAGGGAAAGAATCCCGTAGTTCTAGGATTTCGTGAGGTTGGGGTTTCAAAGTGGTCTCGATATCTCCCTGCCAGAAATGGCTCGATCGCCAGGGAACCCCACCCCCGTCTTATACAACTGAAACTCCGGCGGACCGGTGGGTCTCTCCTCATCCAGGCGGGGTTGCATGTGCCAGACAGGAGGATCTTGGTAGTTGGCGAGAGCCAGGGAACTGGCTTCGGGTTGCATTTAGGCTAATAGACAGGGCAGGAGCCAGAGGCCAGGAGCCAGTCATAAGACATCGCACAGATAATTCAGGTGCGCCTGGGAGCCAGGGACCAAGATTTACGAAAGGTGGACCCCAATTCGTACTTTCGACACCCATCGATAGGATGGAGTGATAAAAGCTAGGATGGTAGAGGGGTAGGGATATGGAAGCTACATCAAGTTACCCCACAGTAGCGTGCGGAAAACTATAAGGTTCAAGTTTTCAACCAGTTAGGCTTGCTGAAACCCCGGCTTACCGATGGAGACCAACGAGGCGGATTGGACAGTGTGGACTAGTTCCTAGTGTAGTTTCACTAGCTCCTTAGTACCTTGCTCGTATTTGTGCATAGCTTGGAATGTTATCCCCCGCAAATCTTCCGTGGATGCGCTGTGGATCCTACAACACCCTTACCTGCAAGCTGAAAGTTTACGGACTAGATATGATATCCGCATCTGCAATTTGCGGAGCGGATGATACGAGATCCACCGATCCTGCGGCGGCATACGTAGCTAAGCAACCTCTTTTGCAGTCTCGCAAACATACTCAGGGCAGCTGCAATGATTCGAACCTTTCTCCTGTTTCGTTTGGCCAAGGGCATTTTTCAGGCTAATCCCTGGAGCCGTTGACACTCCCTTGACCCCGTATTCATCCCTCGTGGCCTACCCAATTCACCCTACTTTACTATCATTGCCGATGGCTGAGTCAAAATTCCTGCTCCCCACATAGTCAGCGTAATCTGATTCGCGTTATTTTTGCCTAATGCTAGTATTTCAGGTTCTATATCGTTTTACTTCAGAAAAGCTCCATTGCTCCGCAGTGGTTTCCGGTGTCCCGTCAATGAGGCATAAAGTAAAGCCCAAAGCTCCCAGTTCATTCGATCTCTGTTAACTCTTCTCCCAAAAACCACTTGGTAATTTGACACAGCTTCTACTCGCCAACGCTCACACCATGCTCTCTGGTTTCGTTTCAAAGGGGCTACTGCTCCTCTATGCAAGCCTAGTCGCTGCGCAAGGTGCGTCGCCCCTCTACAAAGATCCGAATGCGAGTATCGACGATCGTGTTTCCGATCTCTTGGGGCGAATGACAATTGAGGAGAAATCGGCCCAGCTATTGCAAGGTACGTTGAAAGAATTGCCCGCCGATAGCTCCGTCGATGATGGTTAACAGATTTGCAGGCGGTATGTCCGATTGGATGGATACAAATACGGGACAGTTTAACTACACCGGCCTGCAAGAAAGCATCAAGACAAAGGGGGGCATGTTCTATGGTACATCCTCAACGGCCGTCGTCGTGGCTACAATATCATTAACCTCCCTTTGCTAGTTGGATATCCCGTTCCATGGGACTGGCTCGCAACCAATATCAAGAGGGCGCAAGACTACATCAAGGAAAATACCACCCTCGGTATTCCTGCTCTTGTTCAAACGGAGGGTATGTGCGCCTCGCCTTGTATTCTCTGGTCTAGTCTAACGAAAAAATTTAGGTATTCATGGTTTTTTGATCGGGAATGCGACCATCTTCAACTCCCCTATTGCATATGGATGCTCCTTCAACCGAGACGTATGATTTTGCGGCTACTTCGTGAATTTTTGGAATGCGAAATTGATAATTGATCTAGTTGGTCCACAAGATGGGGAAAATCATTGCCCAAGAGGCTCGTGCTCTGGGTGTCACCCAGGTGTTCGCTCCAGTTGTCGACCTCGCCCGCGAGCTACGATATGGCCGGGTAAGAGCCTAGTCACATTGCTCCTGTTTCTCGGAATTAGACTGAATGGATACAGGTTGAGGAAACATTTTCGGAAGACCCTTACCTTGCCGGCGAGATTGGATTCCAATACACTGTTGGGATCCAAAGCCTCAATGTCTCAGCAATGGTCAAGCACTTTGCAGGATTCAGCCAACCAGAGCAGGGCCTCAATACTGGTCCTGTGCAAGGTGGCGAGCGCTACTTGCGTACTACGTGCGTGAACCCTTCTACCGCTTGCACGACGAGGACTCTTATTTACCTGTGATCTAGTTGGCTGCCGTCTTACAAGCGGGCGATTGTAGATGCCGGTGCTTGGAGTATTATGAGCGCATACCACTCGTGAGATTGTCGCTATCTACCCTATGTCACCTGGGCTCCATGGCTGATTCAATTTGCTAGCTACGATGGCATCCCGGCAGTGGCAGATCACCATCTGCTTACAGAGATCCTTCGCGAAGAATGGGGCTATAAGTACTTTGTGATCAGTGATGCTGGAGCAACAGATCGCCTGTGCACTGCCTTCCATCTCTGCCAAAGCTCTCCAATTGACATGGAAGCAGTGACGCTCAAGGCCCTTCCTGCTGGCAATGATGTTGAGATGGGAGGTGGATCATAGTAAGATGCAATCGTTGGAACGGGTAAATGGAGCAATGGAGCACTGACATACTGGCAGTAACTTCCAAAAAATTCCAGAGCTGGTTAAGTCGGGCAAACTCGACATGCAGGTTGTTGACACTGCAGTCTCTAGAGTGCTCCGGGCTAAATTTGCTATGGGTCTGTTTGAGAACCCATACCCAGGTGCTCCACCACAGGAGTGGAAGCATCTTATCCACACCCCAGAAGCAGTTAAGCTTGCCAGACAACTAGACAAGGAGTCTATTGTTCTTCTGGAAAACCATAATAATATCCTGCCTCTAAAGAAGAAAGGCGATATTGCTGTCATTGGTCCAATGGCACATGGGTTCATGAATGTATTATACCCCGAATCGCAGTTTGTCACAACTTCCCAAAACTAACAAAAAACTCAGTATGGGGACTATGTCCCATACCGAAGCCAATACCGCGGCGTCACACCGTTAGACGGAATTAAATCTGCTGTCGGCACAAGAGCCCGCGTCCACTACGCCAAGGGTTGTGAAAGATGGAGCAATGATCAATCTGGCTTTGCGGAAGCTATTGACGCGGCTAAGAAATCCGATGTTGCCATAGTTGTTGTGGGAACCTGGTCCCGCGACCAGAACGAACTCTGGCAAGGCTTGAACGCAACGTGAGTCTTTCATCCTGCCAACATTATGGTAAAGAATTGACGAAGAACATAGGACGGGCGAGCACGTGGACGTCAATGACCTTTCCCTGGTCGGAGCGCAAAGTGAGCTTGTCCGAGCCATTGTCTCCACAGGTGTCCCTACTATTGTGGTCCTCTCTAGTGGCAAACCTATCAGTGAGCCTTGGCTCTCTAATAGTACTGCAGCACTTGTGCAACAATTCTACCCTTCTGAAGAAGGAGGTAACGCCCTCGCAGATGTCCTTTTTGGAGACTATAATCCCTCAGGCCGACTATCTGTTTCCTTCCCCCACTATGTCGGCGACCTCCCCATCTACTATGACTATCTGAACTCTGGCCGAGCTATCGGTGACTCGGGATCTGTGGCGGCTAATGGCGCCCTTAACTTTGGCCACCAGTATGTCCTGGGTACTCCGCTACCGTGGTATCCCTTTGGGTATGGACTGTCGTACTCCAAATTTGAGTATGGAAAAGTCACATTGGACAAGACAACTGTATCAGTGGCGGATACAGTGACAGTAAGTGTGGACGTGACGAATACACATGCGCGGTTAGATGGGACAGAAGTCGTGCAGGTGTATGTGGTGGATGATATATCATCCGTGGCAGTGCCGAATCGGTTGCTGAAGGGGTTTGAAAAAGTCGTTATCCGTGCTGGCGAGACGAAAACTGTGAAGATCCAACTGAAAGTTGGCGACCTGGGGTTGTGGGACAGCCGGATGAAGTACGTGGTTGAACCGGGATCGTTCCAGGTCCTCGTGGGGCGCAGCTCTACGGACATCCGAGGGAATGCCACCTTCCGAGTTCAGTAGTAGTCAGTGTGGTTTATTGTGTATGATACAATCCTGCTCTGATTTCCAAGTCTCCCTAGCTGCAGGATGTGAGTTGGATGCGTGGGAGGACTAGCTAGACAAATTGGTGGTATTGTAGATAGATAAAGTGGTTGATTGGCTGAGGAAACAAAGAACCGGAAGGCTGTTAAATCAGGTGACAAATTATCCGACAATTCCTGCTGCCTCCACAACGATTTCGCTTAAGCTACAGAGGATTATTGAGATCGACCAGCACTCAATTTATTAATTTTCGGACCTAAATTAGTCCCGGGAAACTGCTCTTCCAAAAAGGAGCGGGGAAAGGGACGAAAAGAATACGTCGTGGTACAGCCAATCTAGTTGACTCAGGCAAGATTCTTTAGCACGGCCTAGTGGCATCCACACTAGCACTGAGGTCCTGCCAAAAGATTCAGGTGTACAGCCCTTGAATCGGATTTGCAAAAGTGATAATTATGCAGGCGGGTGTTGCTACTATATGGAAAGCTCACCACTCTTGCGTATCTCGGTAGTTGATACTGTAAGGGTCGAGACATGAGCGGTAACTGACCGCCAGGACACCCGTACTGAATGACCTACGTTCTTCTGTATTTGGCATAGTAAATTAGGTATCATTCGCATCACGGTTGACGTACCGTGTATGAGAGTAATCTATGGGGTATCTCAACCTACCGTATGATATTGATTCTTTCTTCAATCAACTATACTTGGTTGATGAAAATAGTGGTTCCGCTTAACCTCTTTCCTTTCCCTTTTCGTGGGGAAGATTATTAGCCTATACTATCCTGACTTGCTCTCAGAACTGAAAGAGCGGCTTTGGGCTGCTTACGTAGATTGCGGGCGGAGTTGGATGCCATGGATTGGATTGTTGTCTAATAGCGCGATGCAGGGAGGCGGAGAACCGGCGGGTTTGGCACTCGCTCATTGGTGATGATCGGACCATGAATGTTTTAGCATTTTAACATTTTCCCTCATTTCTGAAAAGCCACAACTATCCGAATTTAACTTAGCTAAATTGAGCGGATTTGGGCGTTCGTAGCCTGGACTGTAACCTGATGCGCAGTGCGGAGTGGTGGGCAATTGGCGGGTTTGGCATTTCCTCATTGGAGTTGGTCGGTTGAAAAGTGCTTCAGCATTGTACTCTCTTCTTGTGTACTTCTGAGGAACATTCGAAAATGGCTTAGCTGGATTCCCTCGATCTCTCTGTCCATGAGAATCAACAGCCCGCCATTTTTGAGGTCTGCTTGACGAGGACGGTTGCTGAAAGTAGGTACTTTCAAATGAGGGCGGGGTTTCCCAATTTTCCCGGCTTGGCCCGTCCTTGGTTTCGGTCCGCAGAGGGGTCTGATTCACTCCAGGATACGAGGCCCGCCTGACTACTATGAAGCAAGATGCATTTACCACTGTCGAAGTGTGAAACAGTAGCTCATTATCCGTAGGAAAATACGATATATAGTTATGGAGGCGTAGGTCGACTACAAATTGCCGCTGTACAACCGCTGAAGGGGGCCATCGAAGCTAATCGGCGCTGGTACGTGAGGGACTTGACTCTTCAATAAAACAGGACGAACTAGCAAAACAAGCTCCGGGATAGATTGATTCAGACTTAGTATGCAAAAGGAGGCCTATACGACTTATGAACCGGAGGTTGAAAGCTTATGCCAGCTATATAGCAGAATATTGCTTAAGTCTGATTTACGTTAGTAATTTTTTGAGCACTTACAATGCTTGTATACTCGTCAAGGTAGAAGGTGGATGTCCGGGTTTGCACAGCTGCTTTGTATAGTCGCATTCTCTTTGCAAATTTGTATTTTGATTACCAGCTCGAAATACGTTGAGGGTGACAGCAATGTGAACCGCAGCCCAAAATCAGACTAATCAACGGAGAAAATCTCGAAGATCCGACGGGATTGCACCGATGTTCCTCAATCTCAAAGAGCTGGGGTCGGCGGCCTCCGAGAATTTGTCATCAACTGGCTGGGCGAACTCGGACAGAAATCGTAGCATCCATTGATCCAACCGGAACGAGGTGTTCATGGAGACCCGGCAGGCCTGGTGAAACGCTCGAAGCCTAATGAGAGACATATCTAACGTGGGCCAGAAGGTTCGAAGATGCTGTAGGATCTCGAAATTGCGTTCCAGCCGTGCCCGTGCAATCTTGATCTCGTCGTCATCGACGCCGAAGAGCAGAATATACAGTTGGACAGTAGACGAGACCACCAGAATGTGGCCAACCATGCTGTAAAGCACCTCACAGTCCGGGTTGGCATTGGCAGCGTAGAGGAGCTCACAGAGATGGGCAGCATAGGACTTGCACTTGTTTGCATAAAAATGAGTACTCGGCACTGATGTATGGCAGTCCTGTTGGAGAAACCGATAGAAGAGAAGCTGTCCGTAATGGTAGTATCCGATATGCAGAGCGACAAACGTTCGGCCGAGCCCTTCGGAAGCGTACCGGACCATATTCGCCGGTGTATCCCGCATATAGTCGGGCAGAGCAGCTTGCCATTCATCCAGATGATAAGATGCGTTCCTAACATCAGTTTCTAGCGCGGCACCATCTGCTTGTCCAATCACTGCCATGCTATTGATTGCGTAGATCTCGGCCAAGATTTTGTTCAATTTAATCATTTGCGCAATCAAAGATGCCTCTGGACGAGGCGAGATCTTGGCCGGATTTGTGTCTTCCTGTTTCAATCGAAGGAATACTCTTTCGTCCATCGGTAAAGGGACATCATCTCGATGTGCCATAAGTCGAGGAAGACCCACGCCGGTCGATGACCAGACATCAGTTAGGCACAGCGTCCACCAAACTGTGATCACGCTTTAGTCACTTATATCGTCGCTTTGGGAGAGGCAGAAATGGGAACGGACCACGTAGGTTGATTTCCTTCTCAAGAGGAGTCACTGTGACCCGATTGGGTAGGTCGAGGAGCTGCGCGATCCGACAGGCGGCCGCATAGTAGACTGACTCTACCCCCGGCTTCCCTTCGGCCACAGCCGCTGCGCCGAGCAAAACGCATGCTTGCACTGTGATCAAGGAGACATCGTCGAGGTCTAAAAATTGTCTGCACTTAGTGCTATATTGCCGGCCCCTTTCACGAGCGTCGGAGTCTTGAAAGAAAGGGTTTTTTGAAAACCTGAATCGGGTTAGAGAGAGCGCGTTCACAACCTTTCCATACGAAGTCAATGTCAAACCTTGCGGATAGGGTCATCATTCCGTAGAGAAGGACAACTGGCGCTCGGTTGTCCAGCACATCCTGGATCATGCTCGGTTGGTGGAACAAAGAATGGAACTTGTCGTGAATAACGTCGAAGTACAGCCGAGTAAGCTCAATACAGATGGGCTTTGGCGGAAGCCCACTTGTAGTCTCTTGGCCAGTCGCGACAGGGCCGTTTAGCGCTGGGGAATGAGCTCGCAAACTCCGTTTGGGCTCGGATGCTGCGAGCAAGGGCAAGTTCTTGCGAGAGCACTCGAGTCCCCTGACTGTGCAGGATGTACAGCCCTCGCCGTTTACCGCGATATTGCATTTTCGCTTCCGCAGACTAGAACCTGTCAGCTCAGGATCAGGACGCTGGCGAGAGGGGAAAGGGACTCCACCGGCAGGCATGGCACGCTTTCGCGGGTCTCATATTGGTTCAGTCAATAATATTCCCTATTCACACAGCTCGTTAGATCGGGCCCAATGCCAACATTTGCTCCTTGATACGGTATAACAACGGCTGGGACAACTGACACGTGACACGTGAAATGCTATGTTTTGATAACCAACTTAAGACATCACGGTAGTGGTCATGTCGAGACATGCAATAACTTACGGCATGAACAGGTCTTATACCCAGCGATCCACTTTTCCTTCTGTTACGTATAGAAATTTGGTATCTTTGGCATTTTGGCGTCGTAACACTAGGTACCAGAGCCATCTATATATAGGGTATTTCAATCTGTCCTAGTACATTCTCAGTTGATCAGCAAGATTGGATCCACTGGACCTTATATTTGGCCTCATTTGTCTGATTAGATTACTAGCCCATACCGACCAGACAAGTGATCTTGCTTTTCGCACGAGTTGTTTTCAAGATTGGACGCTAGCCTCCGTCTAGCGCCAGTATAGTGTAATAATATATTTCCATAAAGCCACCCCACTAAGTACACGAGGATCTAAAGACCCCGCGGGGTAGAGTGCGGAAAAGAATAAGGTTTCAACCAACCAGGCTCGCTGCACCCCGGGGCTCACGGAGAGCATTGGGGCCGATTGGACAATGGCAGACGTAATATACTCCCCTCTGCAACCTCAAACCGCCACTTCCCAGTATCAGTATCGCTCCTGCGAGGGAATTTTACTCTTCGCTCTGGGCTATTCTACTATATCAATGGCCTCTCGTATTTTGCTATGTTCGGGCGAATGGATCACCGCATGAATTCAACTATTCCATCCACAGTTGGCGGCCGTTTGCAGTAGATTTCCGGTGTGTCTCTTAACAGCAGCATCCTTTTTATCCGAAAGGTGCGAATGGACAACATGTTCGCTCCTCCCGTTGTGTATAAGATTACAACCGATTCAACGAGATTAGTGTGGCGCTGGATGAACCTCGTTAATACGTCAGCAGCAAAGTAATGTACCGCAGATTTAGGCTATAGCTTTGCGGTGCTCTGGACGTTTTTTCATGTACCTGTAACTATATATTTGCCGAGAAGCTTGACGATGACTTGAAATAAATTTAAGACGCTGGGATTGCAACGATCGACTGCACAATATTCATTTGGCGACCTTGGGGTTCGCTGGTCTAAACCACAATATGGCACTAGTTAAGCTCCTCGCAAGGGGCATCTATCTCGCTGCCATAGCGAATGCCTTGGCCGTGGGACACTCCAGCAGAGATAGTGAGCCAGGTTCTTTAATCATTGACCTTGGATACTCGAAGTACCGTGGTGTCAGACTTCCAGGAGGTGTGGATCAGTTTCTGGGGATGCGATATGCACAGCCCCCTGTTGGTGAACTCAGATTTAAAGCACCACGGGAGCCAGAGTACAAGTACGAAGAACAAGACGCATCACAGGTTCGACATGCCCCAAAGAATGCTGTCGCTACAAATATCGAACTTGGACTTAGCTAAGCCGACCTCCTTCATTATAGTTCGGCGCTCTCTGCCCGGGTACCGGACAGCAGCCTGGTAATGGTCTAGATGAGGACTGCCTTTTCGTCAACGTGTTCAAACCATCGGACGCCACTCCAGAGTCTAAGCTTCCGGTACTGATATATATTCAAGGTGGCGGGTACGCAGCAATGGGGAATCCAAACTACAACGGCACAGAAATCATTCGGTCTTCTGGTGGCAACATGATAGTAGTCATGTTCAACTACCGCGTTGGCGTCCTTGGGTTCCTCGCCAGTAACAGTTTCGGGCATGATGCAGACTTGAACGTCGGCCTTCTCGACCAACGCCAGCTATTTCGCTGGGTTCAGACGCATATCAGCAAGGTGCGTTGGCGGGGCTCCGCTAGAACTACAGACACTAACCATGATTTCTACTTCAGTTCGGTGGCGATCCAAGTCATGTTGTCATACAAGGCACGTCAGCTGGAGGTGGCTCTGTATCTCATCACCTCACGGCCTACAGAGGCCACGATAAAGAGCACTTTTTCGTCGGAGCAATCCTTGAGAGCCCGTTTTGGCCAACACTTCGAACTGTCCCGGAGATGGAATTTCAGTATCAACGGTTGATGGGATCAACTGGCTGCTCGTCCGTGGCCTGTCTACGAAAGTTAAACATTTCCGCTCTCCAGGCAGCGAGCGGCGGCTCCGCCTTTCCTGATACCACACCTGGCGATCCCCTACCGCTTTTCTACTGGCTACCCGTCATCGACGGCAAATTGATCCCCGACCAACTCCATACCCTCTTCGCGACTGGCCAGTTCGCCCATGTGCCCATGCTCGTGGGCCACGTTACCAATGAGGGCTCATGGTTTGCCAACAACGCGTCTAGCGCCGCGGAGGTCTCTTCTTTCCTTCGTGCCAACTACCCACACCTCAAGGAGACTCAGCTAGAAGAGATCAATCACGAATACGCAAATATGGCTCCGCTCCCTGGCCACGCAGCATTCTTCCCCAGTGCTTCGGCCGCGTATGGTGATGCTACATTTGCCTGCCCTGCCGACGATATGGCCAGTGCCGTAGTCCGCTTTGTTAGCGCTGCTAAGGTGTGGAGTTACCGGTACAACGTGCTCGATCCTGGGACCGTAGCTGGTGGATACGGGGTTCCCCATACCTTTGAGACAAGCGCAGTCTTTGGTCCAGGAAATGCAGGCTGGGCTGCAAGCTCTTACTACACTACTAATGCTCCTATTGTGCCCGTTGTTATGGGGTACTGGATGAGTTTTGTGCGAAACTTGAATCCCAACACTTATAAACACTCAGGGTCACCAGAATGGGAGACATGGGGGCATTTGTCTGGCTCGCAACTCCGGCTGCAGACCAATAACACAGCAATGGAAGTGGTTCCCGATAGGCAGGTCAGGAATTGCACAATGTGGAGGCATCTTGCACGCACGATGGAGTTGTGAGCAATTGTGGTTGTGATGAGGAGGCGGAGAAGTATAGGCCCACAGTTATGGAATACCTATAATATATTATAGGCGGTGGTAATATTAGGGTTCTCTAAGAAGATTGGCTCAGTAAGTGGGTTTTGGGGTCTTGCTGTGCAAGCTTATCGAACGATGCACGAAACTTAAACCCTGCAAGTGTTACGATCGGGAGCGAAGATGGTAAATCCTGCTGTATTATTTCACAATGGTAAGCTAGGGAAGGAGAGAAGGAAAGAAACTGTCCAGAGGGAGGAAATTGGCGGTATACCCCGTGCAAGGCAAACCTTCCAAACCTTCCCAAAGCAGAGATCGTTGTCCGACGACGTTTTTGCTTCGTCCGTCATCCCAAGACCTACCCCCGCCGTAACTGTCAGATTATACCTGTTCACTGTGCCTGGAGCTCATGTGTTTCCCTGAAATCTTGGTGCTTAATGCAGCTGCATCATACCGTGGAAACACAAGGTCTAGGGGGTTTTCAACATGACGATAAATAAAAAGACCCAGAGCATTCTGGTTTACTGACGAAATGGCGGTACCTTTATATAATTCATTGCAAAATGCCCCAGAAGTAACACTCCCAAAGGAGGAGCGTGGTCTCATAAATTGTACAAGTTTCCGCCACAGAAGTTCTATAATCTGACAGAAGGTAGAAAAGAAGGAGATATTGAACAAAAATAGAGAGATCCTGGCGGACACATATGGCGTATCCTGCTTCCGAGCATCCGCCTATCCTATGGTTGAGATATATATCCATGGCCAGCTGGTGAGTGCCTCCATTTGATTGCATATAGATTATACACACTCTCTCGGAGCGTTGTTGTAAGCTCTTTGAGCGACACATTCTAATTAGTCGCAATATCTGCACCAGAGACAGCTGGTTTATAGAGATAGGATGTGTGTAGACCAGAAGTAGGGTATCTATATACAGACAAAAGGCGGGAGGGCGAAAAGCCAGCTGCAGAGGCCACCAACTGACCCTCGTGGGGCAACTCTAAAAAAATAACTTGATTCAGGAAGGGCAGTAGATCGTTGATAGATGCGGTCTTAATTGACCGAGATGAAAGGCGTTGTTTTGTTAGACCTACTAACCCCCCCCCTCCCTTCCTGTTACTGGCCCCGAATATATCTTTGGATTTTGTTTCTCTCAAGTATTCAGAAAGAGAATCGAAGCTGATACCCTGTAAAGTCATGCCAAAATGCCGGAAGTTGACTAATGAGACCTATGAAACCGTCCTATATATCCCTCAGGTAACACGTTCTGTCTTCGGCGAGAGTCGGAAGAGGCGAGCGCATGCAGCCAAGGGCAAACGAACCGATAAAGTGCCTTTGTCTGAATCCCAGTGTGTACTTGCCTCAAAACTTTCCGGATACAAAAGCTTGGCTTCAACGTCGCGACCTTTCAGTGTGGGCATGGGTAGGGAGACAGTATTTGAGCCAGATCGGCGCCACACGGCAAGATAGCGGACTCCACTAGTTGCTGTAATACCCAGTGCCACCCAATTGTCGTGCCATCTAGGAAGACCTAACGGCCAGAACGGAAGACCGGTAGCCAGATCAGAACGAAGCTCCTTATAGACTAGCATACCGCTCGCGACGAGATCCAATTGCTGCGAACTCAGCAGGTCAATCCTGCCACTCAGGTGGACACGGCCGAGGAGACTATTAATAACTGTCATCGCGTTCTTCTCATTATCCCAATCGGGCTGCGGATACGCCCAGCTGGCGCTCTGTTCCGGCGCGACTGCTGTTGGTGCGGAAGCTGCAATGGCAGCATATCGCACTGGATCTTGCTGGTCACTGGTCGACTGCAGTGAGTGGACGGCTAGGAGGGCGTAGTCCATGCGTTGACCTCCGCTAGAACAGCTCTCAATGACCAGGTCCGGGAAGCGGTCGTACAGTTTGCCAACCCATTCGAGGTAGGCCCGGTTATGCCCGAGCTGTCCATCCGCGGGGCTGAAAGCGTTTACATCTGTGCCCTGGACTACTTCGATGTTGTAATCAAATTTGAAATATCCGACGCCGTAT